TACAGTGATCGGAGAGCAAGGGAAGGAGTGGCTAGAGACAGAAAGGTGAAATAAACACAATGAGAGAGAGAGAGAGAGAGAGAGAGAGAGAGAGAGTATATTTGAAAGAGAGAGAGATAGTGAGAGAGAGGAATTATTCGTCCAGAGAGAAGATGGAGGGAGAGCCACATGACATTACAGTGCCGGAGAGAAAGGGGAGGAGGGCTAGAGACAGAAAGGTGAAATAAAACACAATGAGAGAGAGAGAGAGAGAGAGAGAGAGAGAGAGAGAGAGATAGAGAGAGAGGGAGAGAGAGAGAGGGAGAGAGAGAGAGAGAGAGGAAGAGTATATTTGAAAGAGAGAGAGAGAGATAGTGAGAGAGAGGAAATATTCGTCCAGAGAGAAGATGGAGGGAGAGCCACATGACATTACAGTGCTCGGAGAGAAAGGGAAGAATTGGCTAGAGACAGAAAGGTGAAATAAACACAATGAGAGAGAGAGAAAGAGAGAGAGAGAGAGAGAGAGAGAATAAAAGAGAGAAAGAAAGAGAGAAAGAGTAAAATATTCGTTGAGAAAGAAAACCTACAAGGGGACACATGTGATTACAGAACGTGTTGAAAGAGAGGGCAGTAATAGGTGACTAGAGAGTGGGGGGGAGATGAAAAAAGAGAATAACTGAAGTATTAGAGAGAGAGAGAGAGATAGAGAGAGAGGAGTTGTGTGTGTGTGGGGTTAATGTGCTACGAACGGTAGGAAGAGAGTGAGAGATAGTGAGAGAGAGAGAGAGAGAGATAGAGACACGCAATGATTTACCCACTGAGCAAGCATTTTAATTAAACACCACAAAGACGCCCTGTCAAAAAACGTACTTCAAATAATTTAATGAAATACATTTTGAAATGAAACACAACTGAAACAGAATTGCAACGCGAGAAACAATATTTCTCTTTGTATTTTGTGAGAAGGGAAAAACACATTTGTTGAATTTCAGTCTAATATCATTTTCAAAATGTAATTTGGTTGATGTTCCTTAATTAAAAATCGATTTAAATTAACATATCAATATATATATATATAATGAAACAAAGGCATCAACATTTTAAATAATCGGCTTTCCCAGAAAGATAAAAGCGTAACTTCCTGTTTCAGCTATCAATGGCAATTCTCGCTCTATTTAAGCAATAATTAGCAGTTGGACAGATCCAGTGAATCGCTGTTAGCCGACTCATCAAAAGTTTAGTGTTAAAACCTTTTTTTATTGAAATTATTATGCCGAGTCATAAATAATTTCCGTTTATCTGTTTTATTCTGCAAATGATAAAACACAATTACATCTTATTCAATAATAATTTGATTATTTACACTATTTACGTTGTTCGGACTGTTCCCCATATCGTTGTGGTGAGATTCGCGACGTTTCGGCAGTTGTGCGCTTCGGTCTTCTTCAGGATCTGTATTTTTCTGACATGGGATATTGTAAATATTTACACTATTTACATCATTTAGACTGTTGTCCTCATCTTTATTCATATTCACGACATTTCGACCGTTGTACGTTCCGGCTTCAGGATCTGTGTATATGTCTGAGATGATACGTTATAACTATTTACACTATTTAGATTGTTTGGATTGTTATCCTCATCTTTGTTGACATATTCACGGCGTTTCAGCCGTTCTACGCTCCGGCCTTCAGGATTTCTCTATATTTCTGAGATGGGGTATTGTAACTGTTTGTACTGTTTACATTGTTAAGAATGTTGTCCCCACCTTTATCGTCATATTCACGACGTTTCGGCTGTTGTACGCTTCGGTTTTCTTCAGGATCTGTCTCTATTTCTGAGATGGGGAATTGTAACAATTTACATTATTTACATCATTGAGACTGCCGTCTTCATCTTTATGGTCATATTCACGACATTTGTGTCGTTGTACGCTCCGGCCTTCTTAAAGACGGGTCTATATTTCGGAGAGGTGATACACACATGGCCCGTTAAGTACAATTACATCTTATTCAATTATGCGTTCACTATTTGTTATACCGGAACATACCTATTCTATTGTTAATAGACTCTCCCAGATATAATAAGTAGTAGTAGTAGCATTCGCCAGGGGGCTGAGTGAGTTGAGTGAGTCAGTCGATGTCGGACATTAAAGTATCAACCACCACAACTAGATTGCTGCGTCATTAACTATTGTTTTCAAGTTCCTAACGTTTTGTACGTCGAACCTAATTTAGGACCGACTTAGTGAAATAACAAGCCTCCACTGTGAAACTACTCTACAACACTATTTACACTATTTACATTGTTCGGTGTGTTGTCCTCATCTTTGTTTTCATATTCACGACGTTTCGCTCGTTGTACGCTCCGGCATTCTTCAGATGATATACACACATGACCCAGTGGATAAAAGCGCTCACTGAATTAATCCAGTTGAGTTACTAAAAAAAAGAAGATAAGCTGAAACTGAGATATACAGAAATGGCATGGCATGTGGAACTAGAACAATCTAAATCCGGCGGACGAAATGAAGATTTCGTTCGAAATTCCAACGTATATCACCTGAAGAAGTCCGAAGCGTACAACGACCGAAACGTCGTGAATATGACAACAAGGATGAGAACAACAGTTTGAACAAGGTAAATAGTTGCAACACCTCATCTCGGAAATACCGACACATACGTTTATTGTTATTTAAAATCGTTTTTGCTGCTTTTCAGCTAGGTCTTCAAGACCTTTTGCGTAAAATTCCACAGGTTTTGTTGAGAATGTTTGTTGACTAAGTCGTTGATTTGGTTTTCATTAGAAATAGTTTAAAAAGAAAGCGTTTTGCAACCAGCAAAAGCAATTAATACACGGTAAATGCAAGATCAGATGACAATGACCTATGGACTAGAACAGACCAACCGAATTCCACAACGTTTTCCAGTGTTATCCTTTCTGTATGCCTCTTTATCTTGTTACCAAAGAAAACAAAATTTTTTACAATTTACGATCTCAAGAAGCTTTTCGAACAAATACTGAAGGGCATGTTGCAAAAAAACTGCATTTATTTTATTTTTTATTGCGCTTTAAGGACTTTAAAAATAATAGTACCCTGATGATCGCGGCACAAGCGCAACATTTCTCTATTTCCATGCGGTTTATTTCATGGTATCGTTTGTGTAGATTTGTCTTTGTCAATTCACAGCATGAGGGGTCCCCAAAATGAAGAAGTGCTTGAGAACTTTTCCACTGCACTACTGATAAACCCACTTTATACTCCTGTCACATTTCTTCTAAATACAATTTGACTTGGTCTGTAAAACCATTACTGATTGCATACAACGGCAATTACTATTTGGAAAACAAACACAGCTGTTATCTATTAGTAGATTAATCATACTTATTATAAAACCCAGGTTGTGTGTGTGTGTGTCTGTTCGTTTATATATTGGATCGGATTTCCTGCATTTTTCAACTGATTTCAACAAAACTTCACAGGACTACGTAAAATTACCTTGCGGTGGTTCTGACAGCGCCAATAATTGGAAAAACACAATTGCTTTTGCACGAAATCAATTTGAAAACACGATTAAGAGGCATCGCGAGAATGAAAGGGGGACAACTCATATCGAGTTATACTTATTATAAAACCCAGGTTGTTTGTTTGTGTGCGTGTGTGTGTGTGTGTGTGTGTGTGTGTGTTCGTTTATATATGGGATCGGATTTCCTACATTTTTCAACCGATTTCAACAAAACTTCACTTTTTTTTTGGCAGGTAGTGTTTCTTATTGTCTTGCACACTTTTTTCCTTATTTTTACATTCAAAATGCTTTACAAATTCCATTTACTAGACAATTGCTTATAATAAAATTCTATTCAATCGTTAGACTCATAACGATTGAAAACAATGTTTTTGTTTGAGTTTGGGTTTGACCAATTCGTAAAAAAAAAAAAAAAAAAAAAAAATTATAACATGCGTGTCCGTCAAGCTTAAACAATAATTTTTGTCAATTTTATTTTTCAGTCTTTATGATGGTCGATACTTGATCTATCTCTTATTACATCCCCGGGCAACGCCGGGCTCTACTACTAATTTGGTATAGGAGTCGACCGTAGTCGAGATAATCGAGTCAATGCAAAAGATTATTTCCTTAGTTGCATAGTATGCGCTTCACCAGGACATCATAGAGATTGAATTCAAAGTTTTCTTTCTCCTAGACCGGTTGCCACCCAAGGCTATAAAACCCAGTCTGTTAAGGAGTCGACTGTATTTAAAATAATCAAGACAACTCGAATGATGTTTTCCTTGTCTATTTAATTTTCATACGATAATACAGTATGAATCCTCCTTTTCTCCCCACCTGCTATGTGTTAAATAGTAAGACTTGTATCACTAAATCATTATTATCTCCACCCTCACAAACAAATTCTTATAATCTAAAAAATATTTTCTGGTTTTTAATAACGAGCAAAGGGTTGATAAGCCGTTGAAAACGAATCAATCAAATGAAAAGAACTATAAAGGCCAGATTATTATGGAGAGCCATGAGTACCCACGTACAATAAGGACACAGCATATAGCACAGCAGCAGCAGCAGCAGCAGAAGAAGAAGACGAAGACGAGGAGGAGGAGAAGAGAAAAATAATAATAGGAAGAGGTGAAGAAGAAGAGGAGAAAGAGGAGATGTGGAGAAGGGGAAGAAGAAGAGGAAGAGAGAAGAAGAAAAAAGAGAAGAAGTAGAGGAGGAGGAGAAGAAGAAGAAGAAGAAGTAAGGGGACGGCACATAGCAGCAGCGGCAGGAGAAGGAAGAGGAGGAGAAGAGGAGGAGAAGAGGAGGAGAAGAGGAGGAGGAGGAGAAGTGGGAGAGAAAAAGAAGAGGTAGTGAAGAAGAAGAGGGGGAGATGTGGAGAAGAGGAAGAAGAGGTACAGAAGAGAAGAAGAAGAAAAAAAGGAGGAGGAGGAGAAGAGGAGGAGGAGGAGAAGAGGAGGAGGAGGAGGAGGAGAACAACAAAACGAAGTAGTAGTAGTAGTAGTA